TCTCTCTTTCTCTCTCTCTCTCTCTCTGTATGCGATTAAGGCAATTATGCTGCCTCTTCACAATACTGCAACCCAGCGCGAAAAAGATGAGAAAGTAGTACACATGGAGCAATTGCATGCAAGGAAGATACAGAGACATAAAGAGAGATGACTCATGAAAAGCTTTTTTTGGAAGAAGGTGGCAAAAATCGATGGTGTCAATTGAGCGTCCATACTGATTGGAGACGGAGCATGCACATTAGAGCATCAAGGACAGGCTTACACCGTTCTAACACCATACAATAACCACTGCTGGTTAATTACTCACTTTGACCACTGGCTGATCAATTTGTACCCTATGTGCAATGTTCCCATAAGATACAATGGCAGCGCTATTTGTGCAAAAATGAAGGTTTTTTTATACAAAGATGTATCTAGGTGACCAGACATGACCCTAGTCCAGGTGAGATGATCAGAAGTAACATGGAAAAATAATTTTCTTTTTTTGTAAGCAAACTGAGGTGAGGCATAGATTAAAGAAAGCAAAGAAAGAAGCATAGCTGTTGTGCTCCTCTCGGCCTGCAATACGCAGTCCATCCACATTAGTTCTGATCACTGACTGCCTCGAGGCTTTCTCTCTCTCTTCTTCCATCCTTCTCTCTCTTTGTTTACCACATAGAGGTTGATTTATGTCGGCTGCACTTGGCAGAGTTGGGTGGCGTGGGCGAGATACAGCAGCTGTAGGGGAGAGAGAGAGAAAAAGAGAGAGAAGACGAGGAGGAGGGAGGAGAAGAAGAAGGGGAAGCGAAAGGCCAAATCAGAGCAATGTATCAGGGGAAAGAAATGGAGAGATGAGCAGAAAGGAGGAAACAAAATACTCAGGGCTGGATGAGAATGGCAAGTAAGAAGGGGGAGATTACAGGATGGAGGAGGAGGGAGGTTGGGTAAGGAGACAGGGAGAGGTGTTGCGCTGGCCTCAGGTGTCTCACTCTGATTTGTATCTTTTATGATGCGTCTTCATGTCAGAACACAAGGTCTCATGCTGCAGTCCCTCTAGCTCAGGCTCTCTTGTGCTGCCTTCTGATCCTCCTCATTATGTTTACTTGTACATTTTAGTCCTATCTGTCTTTAAAAACTGCTGAGATTACAACTCATTATATGACATTATGTGGAACTTAATGGTCTCTCAGTGAAAGCAGGGCTGTTGCAGCTAAACTCATCACTAAAGCAAATGGGGGTTATGTTTGTAATCCAGTCAGATATATTGCACAGAAAGGGATGGATGAAAATGTACAAAGAATATGGGATGCCTTGTTTACAGAATGTGTAAAAAATATTGAGTAAAACATTTTTTAAAAATAATAGTCGATAATATATATATATAAAAGATAATATATAATTAATTAAATATTCATTGCAAGCCTTGAAAACAAAAAACATGATTGTAAGACCAGGGTCAGACATGAGCAGGGCTGTGGGCCAAACATGATATTTGTAAAGCATCCTTTATGTCAAACTGTAGGAATTATAAATTGCTGGAAAGTGAAGACCTTTAGTGTTCAACTCTTTTTAGTCTTTGTGTTTTTCTGGACCTGATGGACCACTGTAGATCACCATGAGGGGACTCTATGTTTTTCCTCCTAAAAGCATGAAAATATACTGGCATTAAAGTGAAGCGTCGGGAGAAGAGGAGACGCTACAAGCCATCCATCCGTCCACCATCATGGGAAACATGAAGTCTTTCCCTAACGGGATGGAAGAGCTAACAGCTAACAGCGCTGACCTGGCTGCAGTGGGAGTATCGAGAGTGCAGCCTCATATTGTTCATGGAGTCATGGCTGAACGAACTCACGCCGGACTCGCTCGTAACTTTAGACGGTTTTCACCTGGTCAGAGCGGACCAGAGCTTGAGGGAAAGTGGTAAGAAGAAAGGTGTGAATGTGAATGAGAGATGGTGTAATGCTGGGCACGTTAGCATTAAAGAGCAGCGCTGCACGAAGGTTGTTGAACTGCTGGCGGCTGGTTTGCGGCCGTTTTACCTGCCGAGGGAGTTTTCGCACATCCTAGCGATTGTGGTTTACATCCCCCCCCCCCTTGGTTGATGCTGCTGCAGCCTGTGAGCTCATCCATAGTTCAGTGTCCCAGCTGCAAACATTCACACTCTCAGTCTCTGATCATCATCTCAGGAGACTTTAATCATACATCACTCTCCCCACATTCAGCCAGTATGTAGACTGCCCAACTGGAGACGGGCCTTGGACCTGCTGTGTATCGACACCACGGATGCATATTATTTAATTATTGTTATTTTCTTGTACTTTTCTTTCTGTATTTTTGGATGCTGCTGTGGCATGTAAATTTCCCACAATGGGGGATCAATAAAATTATTCTATTCTATTCTATTCTATTCTATTCTATTCTATTCTATTATGTACACTAGTGTGTTGAATTTCAAACAACTGGGAATGTGTGAAAATGTAGTTCAAAGGTAGCGATATTTCAGTAACGAGAGTCTGTGGCCGGTCCCCGGTGGCTCAACTGGTTGAGCAGGTGACCCATGAACAGGCCCAACGCAACGGGCATGGGCTTGAATCTGGCCCACAACCATTTGATGGAGGTCGTCCTCCACTCTACTCCTTACTTTCCTGTTTTCCTCTCCACTTACCCGTTGAATAAAAGACGAAAGGCCAAAAAAATAAATAAAACTGACACCATCCTAATTTGGTGTTCATTTGTGCCAACGTTTGTAAATCATCACTTAACACAAAGTACAAGAAGTAAGAAACTACAGCTTAGACTGTTTGTTTGCAAGTACTGGACAAGTTAAAGATTCACTTCAGTGAAAAAGTTTGGGTTTTTTGTTTTTGTGTTTTTTACCTTGTTAACATGCCAGTATGGTGTTTTTTATGTGCTGGAAGACATATCATTAGCAAGTAAGCAGTCCGTGCAAAAGCTGAGTATTTCCACCTTCAAACTGTAGTGTACTTTTGACAAAAACCCTGAAGAACACACATTCAGATCTTCAGGGTTTTATATCAAACAAACCTAATGAACCCATCCTATCAACTTGTGTGGTGGGGCTTTCTGCATCACTGTTCTTCCTCAGAATTGATTTCCAGCTTAAACACGTAGGGATAAATTACTCCAATATTACAGTTTGCCATTGTGTAAAGTAGGTTTGCACATAGTTTGTACCTATACATACAGTGCATATATGCATCTAAAACTGTATACAAAGATGCACAAGCTCTCCATGACGTCCCCCATTGGCTTCCTGAACAGTGGCTGTCAACATCTTGGCAGTAAAGAACTCCTCCTAACATTTGGGCAAACTTCTGAATAGGTAGCATTTAAATGAGATGAGTTTTTATTTTATTAATCAATGATCAGAGAAAGACTTCAAATATTTTACCTGATGATGCCAGATTACCTACCCTTCTGATTGGGAAATGAATAGCTGTACCAACTTCAATCCATCCAATAGTTGTCAAGACATTTCATTAAAAGCAAAATGATCCACCTCATGGTGGCCACAGAGGAAGAGTCAGGAGATCATCAAAGTCAGTATTATCCATCATGGAGACCACAGATGTCTGTACCGTACATAAGCACAATTCATCCAGTAGTTTGAGATTTTCTGACACAATGTAGTATTTGTTGGGAAGATTCTATCCTTTTTATACCCATAAAAACCTTTGTTTTTTTCTCTGTCTTCCCTCCCACAGCTGGCCAGTTGAGCCAGTCGGCTCATTTCTCCCTCCAGCTGCCCTACACTGTACTGGGCCTCGGACGCAGCGCCAACTTCCTTGACCACCTTTTTGTTGGCATCCCCCGCCAGCCTGGAGAGACGGTGAGGAAATTTGAGCGGGTCACATGACCTCAACACTCGACAGTGCTTCTGCAGGAAAGGTTACAGGCTGTATAGGCTCATAGAATATTTGGGGAAAATTCTGTTATTAAGGTGCTCACAGCAGACAGAGAAAAAGAAGGAAGGGCACCAACATACACCCTTTCAAACCCTCAGGAACACATTGCATGTAAATACAACGTTTGTAGTTAAATACCAAATGAAGTCATTTGTGAGCAGCCTAACCTACCCTGAGTTTAACAGAGTATGGCATGCTTGACTGAGACATTTAATGATTATGCAATAAGTCTAGGGAAAAAAGACTGTGAGAGGAGCAAAAAAGCCTCAGGATCATGATGTTAAGAACCAGAAAACTTTCCAAGAAAAACATCAAATGATGCACTCATTTGTGGTTAAAGTAATTTAGGCTCTTTTAAAGTCACGAGCAGAGAGTAAGATTGTTGTTCTTCTCCTTCTGCTCAAGCTTCTTTCGCAATGGGCTGGATATAACACATTTCTTCCAAGCACTGTGACATTAGTTTGACGGGTATTTTGTGAAGATTTAGATGAGGGATTTCCCACAATATATTTTCTTATCAAATTAGAACTGCTGAACAGGAACAGCAGTGTGTCACTAATCTTGCAAAAACATTTAATGCTTGGTTGACTTGCTTTTTGGGGGGTTTCTCACTCAAGCAGTGGGAGAATATGTGATACCTGTTGTTTATACCAACTGGCTGCTTATAATGTGTGCTTAGATTTTTTTGCACATGAGGGTAACACATAACAAGAATATGTCAGAAATCTGTCATTCTCACATTCGAGACAACACCAATCTGTTCTTCATTCTCACCAATTTTCTAATGAAAATCGTTTGCTTGTTGAGCTATACATAGTTCTCTTAAACACAAGCAAGCAGTATTTTATTTTTGCAGGATTTTCACAGTTTCTTTTGCCTCAGCTTTTCCTGCGTAATGAGGACGAACTAAGTATTTTTTCAGGTGTTGTAAACAATGTTTTGATTGCAGCTACTTTTAAAGAACCATATTTTGCGGCCCACATCTCACTAGAGGCGAGAGTAGAATCGAGGTGTGAAAAAGCTTGTTTCCATATACACCAATTTTTAAAGAAAGACTGAAGACCAACAGTTGACACAGATCCGAAGCAGATGTGCTTTATGGCAGACACATTATACAGCTCTCTTTTAATGTATAGGATCATTGATGCCGTCATCTGGACAAATGATAAAGGTGCAGCAGATTCCTCAATGGAGCACAACTAGCAACATCCCTGTTTCACACAGATTTGTTTAACAGCCCTGCGAGTAGACAATGTATGAAAGACATTTAAATACAGCCAATGTGTGCCTCCTCTCATACAACAAGAGAGCATTATACTGATACAGTAAATAATTGATTGTTTTTATGCTTTTAATCTATTCATCGCTTACACTTCTACACTTGACTACCTCAAATGTCAGCTGTCTTCAGTTGAGCTCTCTCACGATCTCCACATTCATCTCCAGCTCTGCTTTCTTTCTCACGTTGTACTTGTCACTCTGAATATTAGGCACGACAGGGTTCCTTTTTCCCCTCCCGTGTGGTACCAAGGTCTTCGTCAAGCAGCTGATTAGAATTGCAGATAGCTCGGCCCGCGACTCAGAAGCTGTAGTGCACCAAGAACACTCATCTCAAACAAGCTGCTTTATTGTCCCTTTTCTGCATGCTCCTTTTTGCTATGCAAAGGACTGTGATCTTTTTTTTTTCTTTCATTTTTCCTCCTCCTCGCCCATTCCTTCTACAAAGTGAATTAATGAATGCCTAAAGATGCCGCCCATTATGCCGAGTAGATTTTTTTTACCCAGAGGGACTGGAGAGTAGGGTAACTCCACCAGATCTACCTGTAATGAGGAGGAGGCGCTTGTGAAAGCAGAAGGAAGCAGAAAGCACAAGGTTTAGAAATCCTGACTGCTACTCCACCCTGCTCAGTTGGCAGGTTTGGATCTTTGTGTTTGTTAGCTCTCTTGATCCATCTTGCTCTCATTTTTGCTTTCTTTCAGTCTTTATTTCCTTCCCGTTATCTTGCTATCTGCCTGCTGTGCTCTTTACAATCTCTCCTCCACAATGAGACTTTCTGCCTGCTGTTTCACAGAAGGAGAGGTTTTGTAAAATCTACTTGGATATCTTCCATCTTCTGTCCAATCATTCCTCTTTTTTATTCGCCCCCTCCTCATCTTTCTCTGTGAGTCTCTCTCCTCCTGTTCACTTATCTTCCACCCAGGGGATTCCCTTTGCTGCTCAAAGTGGTTTACTTCACTAATCAGTCCCCTACTTGTCACTCTCACTCTCTCTCTGTCTCCCTCACCCTCCATCTCTGCATCCGTCTCCCTCGCTTTCTCATAGTGTGCCAGTTTCCCTGGCTTTGAACCAGAGTATCTCTCTTTCTCTCTGAAGACTTAGGAACACTTTTCTCTTCCAAACAGCCAGATCGGATCTGCTCCCAGGCAGCGGTAGTGGAGGCTGACTCGTCTCCAGCTCTGCTCCCCCGCCAGTTGCCGCACCGAAGGCAGTGCTTTCCAAGAGCTAAGCGACAATGGCTGGCGGCGAGAATGTGCTTGTTATGTAAAAAGCAATGCTGTCGCTGCGCGCTTATTCAAAATAGCTGCGAGATGTAGTTCCTCTCAATTGATGAAGAACGAAGACTCACAATTAAAGAGCACTGGCACTCCCAGGTTCTGCCAAATGTTCAACTGGAAATGTTAATTCCTCTCAGCTAAAAGCACGATTATGGACATTAAATCATTGATATGCTACCGCCTCTATTATTTATGTGTCTGAACTCTTACCCCCTAATGAGCCTATGTACAACTTTGGATGCCTTGAACTGGGGTTAAATCAAGACAAGCCCAGAAAAATGTGGATAAGAAATCTTACAAAAACTGATGATGATGCTGGGTTTTTCCAGAAATCAAAGCATTGTTGTATGCAAATGCTAAATACAGTATGTGTCAGTCTAATGTCAGCTGTCATCACTGGATGCTGAGCCCAAAGGCAGCAAACTACTATAAATGAAACTTGAAATTATGCAAAGTCGCACTGCTCTCAAACACAGAGCTGCCAGCAAGTGTTTAGAAACTGAACAGTTTGAGTTTAAATAGTTAAATCTGTCTAAGCATTCCATTTTAAGTTTTGCTCCTTCTTGAATATACAGTCTTTAATACTGACTTCAGCTTCATGGTCCACCTGTATTTAAAGAGACTTCTTGTTTTCTTCAACCACATTCTCAAAGTCTGACATCAACAGGTCTCAGTCTGTGCCCAAAAGTCAGAAGCAGAGCAGTGAGTGCAGGAACACCAGTTTGTATGTGCTCTGTTTTCTAACAGGCTCCGCTAATGGTCAGCCTGTTCAAGGCTCCACCTCATCACCCTGAGGCACGTCTTTGCACTTGCTCCCCAATCAAACTCCAGCTTATGTGCTGCTAGTCTCCCTTTTTCACTCCGCCGCTCTGGAAGACGGATCAACAGCCTCCCTAATTTCTGTGTTTACTTTCAGTCAGACTTGAAAACAAATGGTTTTGGAAAGCAGCAGGGAGCTCATGCTAATGGCCCCCATAAACAGCGTTCTTTGCTGTTTTGTGCGACGCCTTTTTTCCCTGATTCTCTACAGTGGAAGTGCAAAGTTAGCATGAGCCACAGAGCCGCTCAAGCCTTATTGAAGGCTGATGTGGCAGGTTGAAATAAACCAGAATTCTCTGGTAAAGGCACACCGCTGCACATTTTGGCTAATTGCACCAGTGGCCTGGTGGAAGTTGCAAGGATTTGCGTTTGGTTTTCCCCCAGGTCCAACAAAATTGTCCACACTCCCAATCTGGGCTGGAAAAGTGAGAAAGAACAATTTGCCCCCTCGCCCTCATTATCACCACTGAGGTGCCCTTCTGCAAGGCCTGTAACCTCACTAGACCCAGTGGAGCTGCTTGGCGGCCAGCAGGTCAGGCTGTGGTTGTATTGTGCAGCTTCCAGGTGTAAACATGTGAAACTGGCTCAGTGTGTTTAGATTGTTCACACAAAAAAGAGCTAGGAAACTTCTGAGACTAGTCTGACAACCAACAATGTATTTAAGAAATTCTTCAGCCCAGATCTCATCAGTGTTCTTAACTCTGCAGGTTGACTGAAGAGATTTTAATTTAGAGACATTGACATGAACTGCTCTTAGTGCGTAATATGACACTGATTTTGTGATTGTTTTACTAATTGCTCATCTGTTTCTTCTGTTGGTATTGGTGGTTGATCAAACGTTTCCAAGGATATATTCTATTCTATTGTGTTCTGTTCTGCACTAAATAGAGTTTTAACCCTTTGTATCACACGGTGCTGACGGAGGTCTGACCAGGCAGTCTGAGTGGAAACTGAACTACGAGGGCGTGTCAAATGTCTCCACTATAATCCACTGTGTTACCATCACTTTGTATGTTCACTGTAACATTAACAAGATGAACTGAACACAGAAAACAAGGACACACGAGCTTGCTTTTGTTTTTTGTTGCACCTGACTGCTGAAACAAAATACAACACTTACTTAAAATGAATACACTTAGATTTATTGGACATTTCAGATATTTGGTTTTAAACCTGCAACACGTTGTGTTTAATAGTTACATCAGTGTTTTATTTTGCATTTTAAATAATTAATGTATGAATTAAATATTTTCTGTGTTGAGTTTTAAGGTTTCTCACATACCTGTATTTTCCTAACCAGAAAATGTAAATGTTTTTGAAATAACCAACTGTAGTAATGCTGTTATCATCTCTTTGTTGTTTATTTTTCTGTCTTTTCTCTTTGCTTTTGTAATTTGAGTCAATGCCGTTGAAAAACCGGGTCGCCCTTCAATGATCACTCGTGCATAAATATAGGTTCGGCATTCACTCTGCAAGTTCTAAATAAGACATAGGAGACAAATGTAGTGGAAAAAATAAAGCAAGAACTATGACATATCAATTTTTTTTCAAAATATGCTGAAATTTTGTACGAATATCCAATAATGCATCCTAATCTTTACATTAATCTCTTTCTTGGCCTACTTTATGTGCTCTAGCCGTAGAATCTGTTGTCTTTTGCTCACAGCCTTTTTCTTCAGATGTGATATTGTCAGCCCATTGCTGGAATTACCTTTCTTAAGTGACTGAGAGTTAGTGCGTATTTTTACTTGCATGCTTACACGTAGTTAGTGATTGTATTTTTCTCCTATGAATTCAATCTTCAAAGCAAACCGCTGCACTGCTGTACTGTGATGAGTTGCGTTACAGGATGAGAAAAGACGATGTATATTTTATCAAGACAGAGACTGAGATTATTACTTCTGCAGATGGCTGAACTCTCTCACAACCGCCACAGAAATACTTAATCATACATGCAAATATACACACTCACATGCACACAAACATACACACACCAGGAAAAAAAACAGTGTTGCTCACCACAGCCAGAGTAATTTATTTCATGTAGCAGGCTGACTGTGTCTTAAATGCATGGCTTAAAATAGCCACTCCACAGTGGCTAAAGAAAACCATGGAACCCTATTGCTCTGCCTCAGAGGACTTAACATACATATTCAGAGTGTGTGTGTGTGTCTGTGTGTGTATCTTATGGAAATCTGTATGCAATCGTATATATGGTACTGTTGTGTATTGCCATTTCTGTGTATACTGAGCTCATGTGTTCTTCTCTTTTCAGGAAATAAGGAAGCAGGAGTGGACGGCCATCATTCCCAACTCGCAGCTTATTGTCATGCCCTTCCCACACAATAAGCCCCGCAGGTACTCATACCAGTAATTACAACAATACAATGTTAATATTACAACATAGAGTGATCACAAGTAGCCAGTTTACTCTTTCACAGTGGTATAAATTGCTGGCAGAACCTGTTGATGCTTGTTGCTATGGACACCATTCAACACTTTAACCACCTCATCTGATGCCTCTTAATGGCAAGGTATTGTTATCCGAGCTCGACACAGATAGTGTCTCTGTGGCGTATCTTCACAAATAATGCCTAGATGTAACACACACAAATGCACACACACACACTATCACCTCGCAGCATGTGGTCTCATGTTATCATCACGCTGTTAACATGTAACTCAAACCACAGGAGGAGCTCCAGATGGCTATTTCAGCTCAGACAAACAGAGATACACACCCTCCTCCATATAGCCGCATCACACTTGTGTACTTGCCAGGTTTGCCAGCACACACCGTTGTTGAACAAAGATCTGAGAATAAAAAAAACAGTTGCCTTGGTATTCTTCTCACATACAGTGTGAGACAAGGAATTGCGACATGATAAATTTAATAAATCAAAGTGCTTGGATTTCTGGAAGCACATAAAAGTTCTCGGAAACTGAAAACAGAGCAGTTCCTCATTCTGTTCAGCTCTGACAAGAAAGTGAAAGAGCTGCTCATGTATCTATTTTAACTTAATTAGGACATAGTCTCTGCTAATGTGAACCATTTGGTAATTACATTGTTTTTCTGTCAAATAAAACCATGATGAAATATAAAACAGCATATGGCCAGTCTTCATTTCTCCCCCCTTTCTCTCTTCCTTTTGCTTTCTTTAGTTGGAGTGCTAAGTTGTACCTTACTCCAAGCAACAGCGTGTTGCTGACAGCCATCGCACTGATCGGAGTCTGTGTCTTCATCCTTGTCATTATTGGCATCCTACACTGGCAAGAAAAGGTCAGGACATACACACATATACACAACACACACACACACACACACACACACACACACACACACATACAGTGGTGTGGGGAAGTAAACGTTGTCCTCTTCCTGGTGGTTTTAGAGTGTGTGAGAGAGAGAGATGGAGCTCGAGAGAGAGAGAGAGAGAGAAAGATACTGAGAGATGGAGAGATGGAGCAGATTGGTCACAACCAGCAGCAGATGGGTCTCTCTGCTCCTGTCCTGTAGTCCTCCAGCCTCCCACTGAGACACACACACACTCTGTCTCGCTCTCTATCTCTCCCCCGGCCACAACCTGGAAGGACGTTCAACTGTAATTGCCTTCTTCTGTCCTTTCAGCATGGCAGATCTGCTGTTCATTGCTGCCTTAAATGCACCCTCCAGGGAGTCAATGCATGTTTTCATGTGTGTTTTGTGCTTCAGCTTCTCCTGGTCTGATTGTTTTCAGCCACACACACTCTCACAGTACGATCACAGTAAAATGTACCTCATCATAACACAGTCAGTGCTATCTCTCGCAAATGTACTTTTTTTGTTCTGGATTGCTTCCTTTGTCATCTCCACACTCTGTGGTACTGCTGTCTGCTAGGCTGAGCTGTGCTGTAAGTTGCTGGCATCTTCTCCAAACCATCTGCTGTGAAAGTATGTGGTGCTTAATGTGTTCCTGTACGTGTGTGAGTGTGTCTCGCTCATGATGGCATGTGTGCATGGTTACACACACCGAAGTGCTGTAATTGCCCTCTTTTGGGAAACGTGGGTGTGTTCTTCAGCTTCATCTGAACTGATGCAGAATTTTTTTTTTTTTTTTAAACCTGGCTGGTGCCTGAACCGAGCATACAAGATGCACCTAGCAGGCTCAGGTGGATAAGAGGGGATATGAAGGTTGAGTGGAGCCTTTTATGGAAGGTTAGAGGAAGAAAGCAGAATGTTCATGTAAATAAAATGAAAAAAACAATTGTAATGTCAGGCTTACAGTCTGGCAGTATACTTTACTTGAAATCAAGTGTCTACACAGGCAAAATGAAGAGTTTTCAGTCACAACAGACAATGTATTTGGCTTTGAACGCTGTAGTGTGTATCGGCTGAGCAGCCAAAGTCTCCAATACTCCCCCAATATGAGGAGGAATTTTTGATGAGGAATCATTGATATCTACAGTATATATCCTGTCCGGCTGTTAAATGTTGAACTGGCATATAGTAGAAACAGAAGAGAGACTTTACCAGTACGATATCCCAGTGCACCTGAAATGTCATGATTCAATAAGTATTGATGAGACAGTTACATGTCAGAAAAGAAGCATTGTTAGGTGGTTTCCATTAATAGTTTGATTTTTCTCAACATACAATATATAATTTGTATCAAGTATTCTAAGTTCTTACTGGTGAAGTTTGTAGCAGTTCAGAACAAAACACAGCACCAAAAATGGTGAAACATCCAGCATTCTCTTTGCATCCAAAGCATAATTTGATTCAAATTGCTAAGTGTATTATCAGGTTTTTATGAAGCATAACCTCAAGCTTCCACTATGTATGCAGCACATGTAACAGAATTTTAGGTTCAGTGACACGAATTTTCCCTGAAATGCTCCTTGGCATAGTTGGCTTCTTTTTATTTATTCCTTTATGACACAGGCTTTGTACTTGTCTTTTACACTGATAATTCTGCAAGGAGAGCTTCATGACTATCCAAACGTTAGCCATGTTCCAACTGACAGTCTTGTACAGAGCCCTGGATATGTGAAATATCACTTTTCAGTTTGTAACACAATAAACAGCCTCATAATTTTTATGTATTCCTGAAATAGTCCCATTTTTAAGTTTAGTAGCCCAACAGTGCTCCTGAAGTTCAGCAGAGTTATCTCTCTCCAGTGTCTGACAGTATGTGACAGACACTGTGTTCACATTGACACATTTTGAAAAAAGGACAAATGTAATTTAAATTTGAGTAAGTGAGAGACATACGTCTGGACAGGCTAATGTGGTGTAACCTCCTGCACCATCCAGGGAATTAAGACTGAGGGGGAACATGTACACCGGCTGCTAACATCCTCTCATATCTCCTCTTCCTACTTCCCTTTTACAGTGGGGCATCCACTGAGGTCAGGGCGAGCCTGCTGATTGACATTTGGCATTTCTGTGTGTTTGCGCTGTCGCCTCTGGTATTTGCTCTACTAATAACAATGTCAGGTAGAGGGCAGAAGCATGGGGCAAAGACGTGTTGTCCTGCCTAACAAGCTAACAGGGCTTTTACACAAATCCTGTGAACTTTAGTGCAATGCAGTATTAGCTGGGGCTATTAAAAAAATATCTGTATGAAAATAATTAAGAAAGGAGAAGAATGAGGTCTTAAAATATCTGGTAAAACGTGCAATGAAGCAGAATGTAGTCAATCTTATCTTCACGCAAGCCAAACTTAATTAGTTGACATTAGAGCCCATTGAGACTGCAGCATGCATCGCCATGGCTTTCCACCTGGTTTCAGACTCAGGCCCACCACTGTGTCAGTAAAACCTTTAGATGGACACAAATCAATGCTCTGCTGCTTAACGATGACTCAAGCCTCAGGACGACAATTTGATGGTATCCCCTCGATAGTCAATTAGACCAGGCTTCGACAGCAGCACAGCCCAGTGGATCAGTTATCCAAAGGAAAGAACATCACATCAATCCATCTGCTCCCCAAAAACATGTTGCATTAAAAAAAGGGAAAAAATGTACAACATCAATCAATACGAGACGCTGCCATCTTTGAAGATAGATGAAGGCTTTATTACAAACCAAAGCTGACAGGATAAAAAAGGAATAAATGTGTAGCTGGCCATCTTTTGGATACAGCAAATTAGTCAGCATCAGGGACGGGTTGGCTGTCCCATGAAAGGGACAGTCATCTCAAAAGGTCTGTCCAATGTTCTGACTGGGTTTAATCCTTGTTTTAAAAAACATGAGCTCATCTGCTGCAACAGTTCGGCAACATGCTGGGAATGAAAAAAGGATGACTTCATTCAGATACTTTAAAATTGATGGCCCTCCCTGGCCCATCCTCTGTTCATCACTAATCCAACAGATGTAAATGCATTATTGACTGCACTGTCAGGAGGCCAGATGATATGGAATTTTTGTTACGCATTTGTGTTCAGCTACTGTCAAATGACAAACTCTAAATAAGTACACTAACACACTCCAGTCTTTAAGTCTTGAACCCCATCAAACCTCATTACAACGTTCTGTCATAAAGTATCTAGGGTTGGCCGACCTGACGATCTTATATCATGAACAGTCTTAATTTTCAAAGGAACTGTCCAGGCCACCATATTAAGGGGGTATTTGTATTTTATTTTGAAAATTTGGTTGCTCTTAACCAGCTAGTGCAGGCCCATCCTGTCTTGTGACTCCACACCAGCGGATTGACCAGGACGCTGCTGCAGCCGTCCTTCATGTCATTCAGTTACCTCTCCAGTGAGTCTTTTGTCCTGCAGATGGACTTCAGCTCCACTGTCATTGACTGCAACTGGCAACTGTAGTTCTTGTTCTGCTCTCCAGGGGCCTCATTTAGGATCAGTGCATACAAAAGGTTCTAAATTCTGATGTGCGTACGACCCTTGTATGCGCGTTTGATAAATATAGATTTTTTTGTACTTACGCACAGTCTAAATTTCATGCGTACAAGAGATGGGTCAGAGGAGAGACTGCCGGCAAAATTTTTAAAAAGTGGTTTGATGTTAAAAAACGCATCACAGCCCATAAAAGAGAAATGACTGAAACTGGACAAGGACCAATTAATACCGATCATTCACCCAGTGGATGACCCCGATCACCTACAGATGAGATGTTTTAATAATCATACTAAGTCCAGCAAAAACATTTCCACACTCTGTAACACTCACCAATAAGCCAGCCATCTTCAACAGCTCCTGCTTGGAGACCCACAGAGCTGTTGTGCTCAATGAATGAGTTGTGCGTTCCTCCAGGCCACCGGGCGACAACGTTGGATAGCGACAAATGTGCATCACAAATTATCTGTACGTTGATTGAATGAAACCCTTTTCTATTTACAAAATTAAGTTCAGTTAGTGACGCTGCTTTGATTGCTTTGTGGGTGCAGTCTATGGCTCCACATATGTTTGGGAATCCAGCGACAGCGTTAAGTCCCCGTTTGATTTGGGCTTGTTGGTGATGGCTGTAAGGGAACTGGATGTCGGCTGGGACCAGGGGAGTTATGGCATTCAACACTGTCGACTTGATCCTGCTCATTGATGGCTGGGAAAGGCATATGTCTCCAGCCTCACGCTGGAATGTGCCGGTGGTTAAAATCCCCGAATGCTTTCTATTGGTAGTTTCACTATTCTATTGCTAAATTATGTGCGTAGGCATGGTCAGAGTTGTGCGTATATTTACCATAGACTGTATAAAAGATGGACGTAGCAACCGGCCCTGAAAAATGAAGCCAACCCGAAAGTGTCAAAAACCTGCAATACCATTACGTCCACTAGTCCTGGCTCCAAAAAGCCCTGGCTCCCATAGAAATGAATTGGAAAAGAAGTGATCACAGATCACGAAATACTGCATTCCTACAGCTCAGGATTTTTTTCTTATTAGTTTTCATGGTCAAGTCCAGAGATCAGGTGGCCAATCTGAAAATAAATCAATACTGAATTTTTTAAAAATCGTCAAAATTTTGCGGGGCAAGGGGCGTGGCTGGCTTGTTTGACAGTCAGCAGCGACCATACAGATGAAGCGAGCAGAAGGCGGTAAATGTGGGCGGGCAGAGAGGGCCTGCCTCTCAATCCGTCTGACCAATCGCTGCTCCTATGGTTCCACCCCCCTCCGACAGTTTTTGCATCACTGCCTCCAAAAATCCAAGATGTCAACCAGGAAGTAGCAAAACCCTGGCTTCATTTTCTCAGTGCAGAAGCCAACGGGTGACGTCACGGAAGCTACGTCCATCTTTTATACAGTCTATGATATTTACGCACATTCCTAAGTATAAGTACAAGTTGATAAATTCCATACTTTGCGTAGGAATGTTCGTTCACACATATCTGTGCATACGCACTGATGATAAATGAGGCTACAGGACATCCACTGCAAGCTGGAAGGCCACTCCTCATAGAACCTGCAGCGGGTAGAGAACTGGTTAATGTGCCAATATGTCAAGCTCACCAAGGCTGCAGACCAGAAGAAGGATGCAGTAAAGTCTGCCTTTGATTATATAGTCAACTACGGTTGCCAACTGCAGTCCAAGATGGGGGAGTTGGTGCAGACCGAGAACTGCCACATCAGTGACCTGGCAGCTTGTTTTGTAGACAGAAGGCAGCGTGGCAGACAAAGAAAAGTGGCAAATAGACAAACATACTGAAAGAAGTGTCAAAGTGGCCTTCAAATGTTCCTCCTGGTTGTGAAAACATCCTCAACAGTCACAATTTTAACGCAAGTAATGAGGACAAATTGGTAGTCCTCAGTCTGTGCAACAATGCAAAGTTACATGATGCACTTCAGCAGCCTCAGTTAGTCAAATCAGTGAGAATGTTCCAAATTTATAATATTTTTAGCACAAAATTCACTCGCTATGTGTTAGTGTCCCTCCGCTGCAGCTCAGTGAGGAAACACCCTGGGGAAACAAGAGTTTTTTTTACTAAAAAGACAGAAACTTTGGAAGATTCCCACTTGGTTTGATTAAATCCGACTGCAGAGGCCTCATATTAGCTTCAGGTGAATTTCTAGATGCTTTTTTTTACACAGAGTGAGGACCTCATTACTTCCACTGGATTTGCGTTGGGAAGAGAAGATTTCTTTCCAACACAACATGGCCAGGAAGGATGGAAGGAATGATTGCACCTAACAATAATGACTTCATCACACATATGACCTTGTGAATGTAGTATTCGGATAGACAACATAAAAATGGGCCACTTACACATGAATGCACCTAAAATAATCCTGTAAGTACTGTCATATTATTTGTGGATGCAGATATAGATATACACATATGTAGAACCACGTATCTAGAAGTAGTACTGAAGCTGGCCTTTTAGTCAGATTTGGACTCGTTATACTGAATGTAAATATACTTGTTTTTGATGCATTTAGCATTCAAGTTTTTGTTTAATGAAAACAAAACAGGTTAGTAACTCTACAAGTAGTGTGTGAAGGTACATTGTCAAAACCTCAGTATCATACTGACACTGATACTGGGACAAAAACAAATGATACCTTGTCCTGCTCATGACAGCTAAATCATGTAAAATTCCTACTCTACCATGCTCCTTTCTGTTCGTAGGCAGTGAAACATTTGGCACAACAGTCAGGATAAAGTGGTTCTCTCCTGCTTACAACATGAGCAGTAAGAACAGACAGAAATTGTAGTGTATTTTGTGGTGTATTTAGTTACATTTCAGTGAAAACTGTAAACTACAGACTTTTTACAGCTCTCTTTAAAGTCTACAGGGAGTCGGGTGTTTGACACCTAAAAGAGAGATTTAGGGTGGAGTATCACTTCAGCCGTGACTGCTGATAACATAGCTGCAAATGTTCACCAATCCCCCACAGCTTTCTTTTTCTTGTGTTCAGAAAGAACTGCACATCATTCCTGCTAATGCACTCTGGGGATGTATGCAATCTGGACTTGCTGAAATTACAAAATTGCTTTCATGGGCCCTCAGATTGTGAAATGTACTTGGTCTATGTAGGGCAATGTCAGCTGTCAGTTCAAAGAAGTAAACAGAAAACATGAAAAATTGATGCTGTCGGCTAAAAGTTTTCCCCCACTACACCAGCAATATTAGGAGCAGGTGACGTGAACGGGGCCCTCTGGGAGGAGGTGCTATGGGGGGGGAGGTGGTTTATGCTGCACGTCTGTCAGCTTGTTCACAGCTCAGCTCGTACGCCGCTGCTGCCTCCAGCCATCACACCTGTCTGTCTGTCTCCATGCCCAGATGATGATAATAGACTGTTGGCTATGAATGCACACATATTATCCCTTTAAGGCCTTTTCACATTCACATGTGTGTTTCTGTGGTGTTTGATTTGTTATTACATTGTCTGCTTCTAATATTGAAAAATGACCTTCCCCACCAGAGTTGTAATTGAGCTACTCTCTCATGATTTCTCAACAAATTTGATTATTAGAGTCCAACGTTCATCATATTTAAGTTTTTGCTCCCCAAAGGCCTTTTTTTTAACCAATTAATTGGTAGAAGTTGTCACACAAGCAAAATGGACCGAAATACACTACTAATCTGCCAAGGGCACCATTTAATTAAGGAATGTGTCCATGTTTAATTATTGAATATATGACAGTGGGTTTGGCTTAAAACTGTTTCCAATTGGAGCCCATCAATTTGGTGATGAACGCTGATCCGGCTTACTGAGATCTCTGAATGGCACTTTGCAACGCGTATATCCAAATTTCAGCCGTTATCTCAGCTTGAGGTTTAGAAATACTACAGCGTGATCACGTTAATTTTGGCACCGTGCTTTGATTTAGCAAAATGTTAATTGCTTTTATTCACATTTTAGCTTGCCATTAGTTTAGTCAACAGGCACTTTGGACTTATAAGCATTCTCAGGCTGCAACTGTCACCAGCTTTCATCTATATAGTTTGTACGGTTACACCTGTTGTTCTCATTTATTACAAGGTACTGTTTACCTGTTTAAAGCAGAGTGTTATAACACCGCAGTAATAACAAGTGGATATAGTCCAAATCACTCTCCTTTGTCAACCCATTTTTCACTCCCAAAGTCCGGCTGTTTAAGTAAAATTGCACATTATTAGAGAGCAAGTCAGGTTTGCGTTGTTTACATAGCCTAATATCAGAAATTGCACATTTGCCCCAAGAGGTTTTACAATTGGACAGCATATGGAACCTTGATTCAAATAAGGAAAACTGCCAAAGCAGCTTGGAGGAAGAATATAGAGCCTGCATGTTCACTAAAATACTGATCACTGTCTGGATTTCACTGAAGAAAAGCAGCTAAAACATCAGACACATTAACGTACAACAGCTCCTTAAGCAATCAGGGAAAATTTAGATCAACTGAGAGTTGGCATTAAAGCTGGGCTAGGTAGTATTTTATTGGCATCATTAGGTAAAAATGCCATACTAATCTTTCAGCATATTGTAATTCAAGTGGTCTGAAAGGAAACTGGACTTGGACTCGTCCTCTTGGCTCTGTTGTCAGAGAGAGTTCAGCCAGTCAGAGGTCTTTTCACTCAGAGCAGATGAGATTGTATAATAGCAACAGAGTCCACAGTGAGAGCAGGAGGTGGTGGGCTGGATGGAGGACTTTCACTGGGGAGAGCAGGGTCTGAACACGGGGTTGGGCTGCATAGTGTTCGTTTTTTAGCTTAAACATTTTTGTGCATTTGAAGTGCATGCTTTTCTGGTGGACGAAGAGGGGATCGATATGGAGGGTTGCATATTTTTAAATAATGTTGTTTGTTTGTTTGTTTTGTTGTTGTTGTTTTTGCCTTTTTTCTGAATTTCTGCCTACTGCAGCTTTAATCCTACACACAGCTCTGCTAACAGCGACATGAAAGATAGTCAGGTGAAAGTAATGCTAATCTAAATCCAGTAATAATTTATTATTAGTTTGCCTTGTAATTTTCTTGCCTGTGTTTATTGGTCCTTTGCCTCTTCTTGTTGACTTGTCAGTGGGATTGTGGATGAACTTCATCCATATCTTGTGACTTTCCCTTCCAGTCACTAGTAGCCTTCACCGTGGTTAAATGAGCTGCAAGTTAATGTACTGTAAATACTCTGCTGTTTACCATAGGTACAGATGCTATGTGACAGTGTGGGGTTTGTAGTTCCTGTTGACAAAATTACACTTACACACACACACACACACACACACACACACACACACACTGCTTATTCCAAACTCCAGCCCTGATTTCTTAATGACATACCCTGTATACTCATCACTCCAGTACACGTTAAATGACTGTGTTACTGACTGATCCATGAAGCAGCTGAATCTGACTCTGTATTTTTCTCTGTGTGTGTGTGTGTGTGTGTGTGTGTGTTCAGAAAGCTGATGACCGAGAGAAGAGGCAGGAAGCCCACCGTTTCCATTTTGATGCCATGTGAAAGAAGAGAAGTGCATCATGGGAGAACATCCGTCCTCCTTCACCTGCCACTCAACCAACCACCCCTTACCCTTCACACATTTTCTCTCAGAGTCCTTTCAAGGGCCAATAAGTGGATCCTTGCTTGCCCCAAAACGCTTCTTTTTGATATTTTTCAGTCCTCGAGTCAGATGTGAAATATTTATGTTCCATTTCATTTATTCATTCCAGTGTTAGAAGTACAGGAGCTGCAACAAGGCCATAGAGACACAGAGAGAAATCCTAATGGAGATCACTCTCAAGTTTAAAGCAGGGATTTCTTTGGACCGGCTGTAGTTAACAGCATGATTATCCCTTGTGATATTAGAATATTTTGACAACAGATTCCTGTTGAAATGTCCAACAAGTGACTCCAATATTTTAAGGTGTTTATATTTATTCTCTTCATCTTTGGCATCAAATGTTGCAGTGTGTAAAGTTACCTGACATCCACATATGTGTTACTGTCCATAGTCTTTGTACAGTTTGTTCACCTCTGGCTTTTTCAGTGAGATTAAACTGAATCAGATTGTGTGATATTGATCTCAGCCTTGAAACTGCAGCAGCAACTGGTAGGAAGTGAACAAAAACAGTCACATGCAATATAACGATGCTTCGGAACATTTTTCTGCTTCCAATCTCACCAGAAATGATGAATGGCCTTCAGGTCTGCTGAGTGCAAATTCATCTTTTTCTGAGCTGATTGTATCACAGTGCATCATAGGAGTGCCAAAAAATGTTGCATCCGGCAAATGTCTAATGGTACAGTATCAAGGCCCAGCAAATAGTCTAAAACCTGCTGAATAAAGCACCGTTTGCTCCAGCTTGTTTGTGTTGTCAAGCACTTGGGTGTATCCAGATATTTATTTATAAGAATGAGCTCATGCCTTTCTGTGCACTTTTTAAACTACTGATCAGACTAACTGTGAGTGTGTGCGGCTGATTTTATTTTGTTGATCTGGCTTTTAAATTAATGTTTAAGCTGTAATTGTGTTTCTTTACTGAGGTTGAAAATAAAGGTTTCTTTTGCTTTACTCTGTCTTTTCGTATTGTTCTCTCCATAAAGCTGCACAGCAGGTCCCCAAAACCATAATTTATCCCTTTTAAGAAATTTGCCCCAGAAGTTCCTTTCTAAGAACATATTTTGTTTATTTTGTCACTGGGAAGCTGGAGGGGAATTTATTTTATTCAAAATAATCATCTTCATATGCTTTCATGATTGAAATTTGTAGCGAGTGAAGCAGCAGTGGAATTAAACTGCCTTTAATTTTCCAGAGGACCCCTGAAGGCCCCTCGGAGCTTCCCCCTGGCCCCTGCACACCACTTCAGGAACTACCCTGCTCAATAATGCATGGAGAGATAAACCTTCACTGCATGTCAAATGGGAAGAAGACTGTCTGAGGCTTCGTAGCCTTTAAGCAAATAAACTGACATAAAGCACAGGGGCCTTACACTAATGTACAGTACTGATAGTCGTAGATCTGTGTGTGTGTGTGTGTGTGTGTGTGTGTGTGTGTGTGTGTGTGTGTGTGTGTGCGCGCGCGTGTGTGTACGTGTGTGTGTCAGAAAGCTAGAGAGAGATTTCAAGCAAGGAGTAGGTGGTGCACTGCAAGCGGTATCAAGCTGTACAAAGGAAACCATAACAGAACCAGAAACTGGATATTTTAGCCTTAAAAAATAAAAGCATAGTAAACAAAAAGGATACAAAACTGAACAGTCACAACACAAACTCAAAAAATATTCAAGGAGAACAAATACTCATTTTGGGGGGGATTATTTTATTTGGCTAACCATGATCAGTTAGACAGCTTTGAAAGTTCTTCAGAAATGGAATACGAGTTTTAATGAGTCACTAATTGATGATAGTGCTGTCCCATATAGGTATTTATTGCAGTGGATGTTTGGGATAGCCACTGGTATTCTTGTATATATATATATATATACACACACACACACACACACACATATATATATATATGTGTGTATATGTATATTTTATTTATTTATTTTTTAACAAGAATCCATTATAAGAAAATATTGTTCTGTTGATATGAAACTTCCCATGGTTAAGTTTTAGTAGTGACCAGGAAGGTTTTGTTTAATCCATCAATCCATTTTATGTACCTGCTTTATAATGTGTAGTGTTGTAGGGGGCTGGAGCCTGCAGCTGACAGAGGGGCGAGGATGGCTACACCTTGGACAGGTCACAATCGCAATGCTAACACAAAGAGACAGATAACCAAACACACTCACATTCACAGACACAGCCAATTAGGAAAAATCAATTAACCATGCATATGTTTGAAGTGTGGGAGTAGTTTGGAGCACCTGGACAAACCCAGTCAGGCACAGGAAGATCCAGCTGACCAGGAGATTTGGACCCAGGACCTTCTTGCTCTGAGGCCACATTGCCAGCTGTTAGACAATACAGCAAAATTAAGAAAGATATTGCACAAAAACTGGAGCCTCTTTCATCACATAAATTGGCTAAAGCTTATTTTGTGGCCAACATGTGTGCTGAGTATTACGAGGAAAAGCAGGGATGTCTAGCTTTTCCCGCATCATGTCCCCCTCTTTATTTATCTGTATTGTTAATGCATAGTTTGAAAACAATAACACTAATAATTAACAAGACAGCGTAAATTAATAAGCTTCTTTCCGCTGGTGTGATCACTTTTTGATTGAATACTGTCTTTACAGATGAGTGCTGAAATGTTTTTAAAATTGCAACAAGGTCGGTAGTAAAATATTATTGTGAAAGAGCAAAAAGTGCTCTCCTGCTTGTGTCTAGCTTGACCACCTCATGACAACCAACTCATTGATGTAAGCAGCGCTCACGGCTTAAATGAGCCTCGCTCAGGAACATTTCTTAGTACAGACACGGACAGAGAGCAGACAGGCGGACTCTCCTCCTCCTCTCCTCCTCTCCTCCTGTCCTCCTTCGCACGCTCCCCCGTCTCTGTCTCTCTTAATCCATCATCCATCCGCCTGCGTCTTTTGGATACCTTCCTTCTCCTGCAGCGCTTCAGTCCGGCGGGATCAGTCCTCCTTCCACATGTCATCTCCACCGTGGTCCATCTGAAGGCTGTAATGATGCCAGACTGAGCGGCTCCAACATCGGTCATCTTGCAGCCAAACGCGGCGGGATCACAGTCTGGGGAAGAGCTTGGTGCTGCGGACTTCTCGGTGCGCGTCTCTGCGTAATGGAATTATTGTTGCCGGAGAAAAGTTGGATTTTGTGAAGAGCCTCGTGGAGATCTACGATGGACAGAATGGGAGGGCGTTTTTAGAAAGGTGCTTTTGGGTTTGGAGTCACACCGTGAGAGGAAATGCTCAGAGGTGAGTTGAATGTATGAGCAGCTGCGGTGCGCGTCAAGCTCCGGTGCCTTGGGCATCCAACAGTTTATTTAAAGCTTGAATTAAATGTTTTTCCTTTAAGCATTTCTCTTTTTAGCACAGCTGACGTTTTTGTTCGCAGGTGGTGGGGGTCTCATCACACAGGCTGTCACTGAGCTGTGAGGGCGTTAGGAAATTAAAATACTCACTATGGATGCGCTTCTGAACATTCAAATATGCCACAGAAAATAATGTCATTGTTTCCAAGTGAGATAACCAGAGCATTTTACAGATAGTGCAGAGCCCCTTGTTTCTGTTTCTAGGTTCGTTCTGCCACATCAGTCTTTCTGTCTCGTTGATCTGTAGTTGTGCCTTCTCGTATAAACCTGCCTGCTTTACTGGACACATCTTCATGCCCGAACCACACAGCTGTGTCTGGATTTAGTTTAGGCTGCTTACAACCGAATCGAGCCCAGTCTCTGTTTAAACATAAATAATAGAGCCTAAAAGCAATCGCTCAATAATTTTCTGAAGGGCCGAACGTTTAATCAATTAAAATTGATGTATTATCAGTATTAAAGGTCCTGTTTAGGGCCATTCCAGCGCAATGTAAAAACTCAGTCGAAACAGAGAGGTTTTAGCAGTTTAAGCTACCAGCCAGTGGGAGGTAAATCTGATTCATGATTATCATGGACAGCAAAGGTCAAATACCTTTTGAAATCCATACGGGCCGATAAAACCTATTAGGGCGCTGTGATTCCACTAAGCGGCCGAAACAGCCTGTCTGTCACCAGCCTGGTGTCTGCATGGATAAAGGGAGGTTTTACTGGCAGGTGTGTGCCAGTCTGTGTCTGTGAACAGCCTGACGGAATCACGTTTTCTAAAAAAAAAAAAAAAAAGAAGAAGAAAAAGTATTCAGCAGCTCCTATTCCTTCATAGCACTCACACACACTCACACCTGAGCTCGTGTCCGTATCCGTGTCGGAGAAGCTCCAAGTTCTCCAGCACGAACACCGTGCTGCCGCTGCTGCTGCTCGTGCGGCTGCGCTCCAGCCGCCGTCTCGCGCCATCAACACCTGAAGGCACGCGCCTCGGCGCACCGCAGCAGCGGCTCGCGGGCCGTTCAGCGGCGCGTGACCAGGTGAGGCGGCTCAGCGCGAGGGCGGGTGGGCAGGTAGACATGTGGAGGCTGCACCGGGTCCGTCCAGGCCGCTTGACACTGTCTCACGGTTATTTCTCTTGATCCTGATTAATACAGAGACTATTGTAATTATCTCCCATCAGCAGGCCGCATGGACCAAGTACATGTTCACTGTAGCAGCAGCTGTCAGAGCCAAGCACCGACGTTCAACATCCCCATATGGACTCATACTATCAATATTATACGGAGTATGTATTATCAGTTTTGCTAGATGTATTATAGTAGTAAGCCATTAGTAGTGTTCAAACGTATCGATGTTGTCCTGTGGTGTATTTGTAGCGGCGTAGCTAAATTTGTAATGTACGTCAAACAGACCTAATTAAGGCCATCCTGGCGAACAGCAACCTTCAAAGAACCTTCAGGAAACGTTCCCCGAAGTTTTATGTTTGCCAGGCTGTAATTACAACAAACTACGACTTTCTGGAGATTTTTTATTTTTTTTGAAAAACTAAGGTTTGTGTTTGCTTGACACTTCCCAAGTAGGACCACACAGCCCTGCTGCTGTTTCTGTTCCACTTCCGTGTTACAGAAGCCTGTGGTGACCTCCGTTTTTATTTTTCTATTTTTTCTCAGCTCGGCTTGTATGCCAAAGTGAGAAGTGATGTAAAAATGAAGTGACATGCCCTGGAATAGCGGCGTTAAACCCGCGGTAGTTTCTCCCGTTGTTCTTTAAAATAAACCGAGGTCAGATAAGACTCCTGTCAGGTGTCTTCAGCTGGAGGACGTTTTTCTTTGAACATGAAAGAACCAGTCTGCGTTTTGAAAGAGCCGCGTGTTTCGAAAGATACCTATTTATTGCCTTATTTTTTTGTAAATTATTTCTATTTTAAAATACCATTCACCCGTTTTTATGCAAGTAGTTTCTTTTATGTGGAGGTGACAGTGGCTGCAGCTGTGTTTAGCTTGTAATTTGCCTATAATGTAATAAAATATGTTACAACTGCCAACATAAATTATGTATCTTTTGCCTAATAAGTTAACTTAAATATTTATAGGCACATTTGTGACACTTCAGCTCAAAGCAGCCTGTATTGCTTTTACGGATAGAACCACCTCATCCCATTCTGCGTGCTGTAGCTTTGTTGAGGGCAGCAGCAGATGTTTATAGTGCTCCTGCCATCTACGAAATATAGAAGCTATCTTGTAATGTTAAAAAAATAAATAAATAAACTGCAGGGAGAGCTTACAGCATCTTTCTGTCATTGGCTCTTGGATTTGGGTGGTCTGTCTCAGAATGTGCCTGTGGTGGTTCACACTCCCACCTACGACACTTCATCGCAAGATAATGGTGATAGAGGTAATAAGGACCCTGGAGCCCGAGGGCCATGTGTATTTGTGCATTACAAAAATGAGTCCCTTCAGACATTCATGCCCACTGATGCTGTTGTGTTCATTGCCTACATTAACCATGCATTCGTCTTCATTAGACCTCTCTTTCTCTCCCTCTTCTTTCCCTTCTTCCTGGGTGCCATTATGCAATGTGCCAGGCTCACGCTC